AGAAATACACTATTCTTGACCTAAGTTACATGGACTCATCATTTTTTCTTTTCTATTTTGCAGCAACTCTTCAATTTACCATAGGGAACTCTTGTTTGATACTTAATTAGATACTTTTAAATCGGAATGGACAACATAGGCATCCAGGTACTGTTAAGGGGACGGATTCCACCTATCGCTTTGGGCGTATTGCCTTGGGCGTTAGGATTTATTGTTTATTTGTTTCTCGAACAAGGCCTCTCCAGGGATCAAACCCTAGATGTATCTTAAGACTTAAGAGATTTTGCGCTAGGATTTATTGTTTATTTGTTTCTTGGATGAGGCCTCTCCGGGGATTGAACCTTGGATGTACCTTAAGATTTAAGAGATTTTGCGGGTGACCTCTGGTATCACTTGATCTGATCTAGCGCCAAGGCAATATGCCCAAAGCAATAGGCGGGATTAGTCCCCCTAAGAGGTACTACTGCATATTTCAATTTTGTAACCATAAAAGTCTCAATACCTGTGATTCACCTGTTCATTTAGTTGATAAATATAACCTTATATTGCATATGCTGTTAAATCTGTCTGATTTATGATTTATTACTAGAATATTTATTTCCCAAATTCAGATAATGATTTCTGTTACCCTTGTTACATCACTTTTTCTGCTTTAGATCTTTTGATTGACAAAACACAAGATTCTGTGAATTAACATGATTGTGCATGTCTTCTCCTTCTCAGGTTTCTATGTTGCTATACCAATAATGATATTACCGGGTACTTACAAAGAATAGCTAAAGCAAAATGCCAACAAAGAATTTTGCATAAAAAAACAGCTAAAACCAGAGCAGTTATTACACATTTGCAGATCTCTCATGAGTAAAACATCCCTTACTTAGGAAGGCAAAATCACTAAATCCTCACACTTCTCAAGCTCATTGAATTACAGAGATGTGGAGAATCCTAAAAAATCACCAGCAGCTGCTCTTTGTCTAATACTTTCCATCTTTGTTACTCAGACTCTTCCTTCTACTCTAATGTACCTATATTACGGGTATGACACTTGAATCCTTCAAAAGAAAGGAAAACTCAAAGCAAATGTAAAGTGATCTTGAGTTTGAGTAACATAGCTTTTCTTTTTCTTCTACAGGCATCTTCCTCCATAACCTGCAGTTCTAAATAGTGCCTGCTTTATGTCCTGAGAACTTACTAATGGTCTCTGCTCCACATCCTGGAAACATTGTAAATCCTATATCTGTTAGAAAAAATTACCAGGAAGAGTTAAATTGAACTAATTCATAAGGGGAGAAATGATGTTTTTAAAGTAGAAAGAGTTAAGGCAAAATCAAACAATGCTGTCATTCTTCTACCTCTGAGCAAGAAGCTTGCATTGAAAAATCATTAAAGCAGCTTATAACACATTGTTGAATCTCTAGGCCTAATGCCTCCAAAGTTGTAACAGTTGATAACAACAACCCTGGTTTCCCTGAGCAGCATATCTCAATCCTGGTATCCATATTTCTTCTTTCCACCTCAAACTGCAAGAAGCAATTATTGAAAAAAAATTGATATTCTCAATTCAAGTTTTGGCATTTGGAATTAGACTTGAGAGTGCTGATTAATGGTGCAGGGTCCATACCTTTGGCGTATTTCTTACTGAGATTTCATTGGGTTTGACATCCCTTAAATTGTGTACCATGTTCAACTGATTTGAACCTGTTTCAATTTCTTGTTGCAGAGTCCTGATCCTCTCCAGGAGCTCTTTCATATAGTCTATGGTATCTCCAAGTATGGAAGTTCTGTCCATCTGGTAAGAGAGCGAAAAGACTTGCATTGGCCATAATGGATGTAAGCTACTGCTAATTTCAAACATTCACAAAAGAAATACTACTCCCCTTACCTTGCTTATCTTAGGAACAATTGATCTTAACATAGAAAGACGGTCATTCAGCCGCTTTCTTCTCCTTCTCTCTGCCATCAAATTCTTTGATGGCTGCCCCTCCAACTTCTTACCTCGATTCTTTCGGTCTATAGAGGTCCCAATGTTGAAAACTTGGGCTTCAGGTGATTGGCTCTGCTCCATTTTGCAGGCAGCTTGCACCCCCAACTTGTGAAGTTCATCTGCAAGTAGACCTGGTTCTTCATCATCCACCATGTTCACCATATACTCTTCTTGAACAGGAAATGGTGGTGTACCAGGCCTGTTATTCGATGAATCTGTCACTTGAGGCATCGAGAACTCATCACCAAATGGACAGAAGGATTCATTGAAGGAGTAGCTCAAGTCTTGTTCACAAGGCATGTAGAATTCCTGGGAGAAAGAATTTGGAAGCATGGTAGCATGGTTTTCATCAAGGCAATCAAAGGTCCAGCCACCAGAGAAAGGCCAACTCATTTGTGTTGGAAAGGTCTCCCAACTCTCTCTCCTTATTGCTAGTAACTCCTCTAAGAAACCTTGTCCATTTAGCTCCATCTCTCTCTTTTCTCTCTGAGGAATTCTATTAAGAGGCAATGCCTTGAGAAAATGAAGACACACCAAGTTGAAGAATATATAGATGCACACAGAAAAGGTTAGATGTTTTCAATTATATCAAAATATAATATACTAATAATATATTAATGTCTATGCATTATAGTATGTATTTGTTAATACTTATAGAGCCTAAGATGGAAATGGAATCTGCTTCTTTTTCCTAATTATCTCCCTGTTGGGTGGTGTTTTCTTGTCTTTTTCACCGAAATTTCTGGAACCAAACAAACTTAGTATATAATTTGTATTTCCTCCATGAAACTTTGACCCACACCCTTGTCTGAACCAAAAAGGGGATGGAGTTTTAACATCATAGACCCTGTCAGGTTCTTTGTATGCTTAAGTTCTGTAATATTATCTGCCCATAAACAAAGAAATGAGTTGCTGAGTTGGGCCCCATTCCCCTCTGCCTCTGAAATTTTTTTAGCAATGCCTCACAAATTCAAAAGGAGTTGGTGGGCCTCTTATTCTTTCCTCACATTTTTTTCTCAACACAGAATTTGTAATTACATGCCCTGTTTTAGACAATGGGATTTTCAGCAAGTTAGCTAGAGTCTTTTTTTTTTTTGGTACAAAGCTAGAGTTTTTATACATGAATGCAAGTTAATTTACATAAAGTATCTGAATATAGTAATCCAGCTGCACCATTTCTTAAATGTTTCATTTTGGCTAATGTATATATGGGGTCTTAATCCCCACTTGAAAACGCAGAACAGCAATTTTGGTGCTCTCTCCTGAATCTGTTTGGGCCGATTTCTGGTATAACAAGAGATACTGAGTTATCACCAACGATGTCTAACTCGAAAGAACTCGATTTTTCTTAAGGTCTCGAGTTCAAATTTTGTAACCAGAGGTACAGGAGTTGAGAGAGTTTTTTTCCAATAAACTTTAACACCACTTGATTTCGAATTAATTGAACCAATATCATTACCGGATAATAAGAGAGATTAATACCAAAAAAGAGATATTGAGTTTTTGAGCACTGAGACTTTCAGACTGAGGTTGAAATCTTGAACCAGGGTGAAGCAGGGAAACGTCCAGGACTGGCATTGAACAAGGGGAAGAGGGAACGAGGGAGCATTGTTATTGCTTGCCTTCCTGGGTATAGAATGCCGCCGTACACATTTTCCTGGGCCATGGCCCCACCTGTTTTATACAGGTATATGAAAAAGGTTTTTAATCATTTTCTTTTTGTACTACTTTTAGAGTACATATATATATTTATTCTTGTAAGTAAACCCTCATATAATTCTTTTCACTTTGACGGGTCCCATATTTTTTGGTATTCAAATTGATACCGAAAAAATATTCCTTTTGGCCAAAATTTTCTTAGCAGCCGAAGCCTTCTTCAAAATGCAAAATGATTAAAACATGGTATGATAATGATGAACAATCAATTGTAGGAAACAATAAAAAATAATAAAACTATTTATTTTTAGTCGTTACTTAATTTTTTTTAATCTAAACTTGTTTTTAATTATTTAATCGTCTTTAAAATGATCAGAAGAAAATTTTTAAGGGATGGTCCAGAACTCAGAAGAACTGATGATAATGCAGATGAGACCGGTGATAATAATAAAATAAAATTAAGAATATTTATTTTTTAAATATAAAAAATAATTATTATTCCTAAAAAATGTAAAAAAAAATTTATTATTCTTATAAAGTTAGTT